CTATTTATCTGTGGACTCTGCCGATGTTCCATTGCAATGGTTGGTGTTTTACTTGGACACTCGCAGCCCTTTGTGTGAAAAGTATATGCCTTCGTCAGGTAATTTTGTATACTTGGTAATCCTGTTTGTTTAGCTTCATAATATGGAAGAATTTAGCTGATGTTATTGTACAACCAAAAGCACATGTGTGCTTTTATCGATTTCAAAATAGCTAATTTCATTTACTTGGATGGTCAATTTGTGTGTCGTCAGCCAGCTATACCTAGATAAACCGAAATTGTTGTGGTGGTCTAGTCTGTTTAGAAGGTCAGGTTCTGTAGTTAAATTCAGTAACAATTTCAACAGGGAGTGGAGAGCTATATTTGGAAAAGAAGTCAGCTTGTAGTCTTGCATGACACCAGGTCCTGGTTTTTCCAGTGTGCCTTTGTAAATTAGGGTTGCTTACAGAAGTCTCATGCAATATTGTGCACTGAACAGTGCCTATATAGATACTTAATTTATGAAATTCCCTGTGCAATATTCTACACTTGGATGATTACAAGATGATCGCTTGTTTTCTACAGGTAACAGCTAAGGCAATCTATTCAGCCATAGCATATGCTGGCGTCAGTCACTTTTGTGCTGCACCTGTGGTACTTAACACCTTAATCAATGCTTCAAAGGAGGAGACTATCCTTCCTCTACCCCGTCGAGTGCACGTGATGACTGCTGGTGCTGCCCCTCCCCCTGCTGTACTCTTCGCTATGTCAGAAAAAGGCTTCCGCGTGACACACACCTATGGACTCTCAGAAACTTATGGCCCCTCCACAGTGTGCGCATGGAAGCCTGAGTGGGACTCGCTTCCTCCAATAAAACAAGCTCGTCTCAATGCTCGCCAAGGTGTTCGATATGTTGGCTTGGAGAGGCTAGATGTTGTTGACACTAAAACCATGAAACCTGTCCCTGCAGATGGAAAAACCATGGGAGAAATCGTGATGAGAGGCAATGTTGTGATGAAGGGCTACTTAAAGAACCCAAAAGCCAACGAGGAAGCTTTTGCAAATGGATGGTTTCATTCTGGAGATCTTGGTGTAAAGAATCCCGATGGATATATAGAAATTAAGGATAGATCAAAGGACATTATCATCTCCGGAGGTGAAAACATAAGTAGCTTGGAGGTGGAAAACGTATTGTACATGCACCCAGCTATCTATGAGGTATCGGTGGTAGCTCGACTACATGAGCGCTGGGGCGAGTCACCGTGTGCTTTTGTGACTTTGAAACCTGAAATGGAAAAATATGATAAACAACAATTGATTGATGATATAATGAAGTTTTGTCGGTCAAATATGCCTGCTTACTGGGTTCCAAGATCAATAGTGTTCGGGCCTCTGCCAAAAACAGCGACAGGGAAGATTCAGAAACATGTCCTCAGGGCCAAGGCAAGAGAGATGGGACCTATCAAGGAGAGTAAGTTATAGCTAATATTCTGGTGCAAAAGACTTCTGGCTGTTGAAAATGTTATCTCGTGCCATGGTAATAAAGCTAGTGCTTGAAAAGCCTACCAGAAATAAATTCTTGGACTCCTCTTTTTAGATGGATACCCATCTTCGAGAGAGTGGAGCCCTCAAATGTGTTATGATTATTTTTGCACTTCAAGATGGGAGGATCCCTGGGGGGTTTTCAGACTATCAAAATGGGTTTTCAGACTTTCAATATTTCCATGTGTAGAGTAGTAACTATAATTGATGGATATCGTTTCAATTCTACTTGGTTTTTGTTTTTTGTTTGTTGGTAACAAAGGGGGCTTAACGCCACCAAAAAAAGAAGAAAAAAAGAGGTACACGCTCTAGCAAAAGAGAGGATATTTAAACACTTTTAACAATCTAATTCCAGCGACGAAGCCTCCTAATTTGTATGAGAAGCACAAACCAAGGCCTTGTTTCTTCTTGGTAAGCGGGCAACAATTGTTTCGCAGCCAAAGAATCCGCTTCTGTACACGCTCGTTTCAAGTCTACTTGAAAGGATTCCCAATGCGGAAGAGAAATATTTTTGCTTGTGGACTTGGCTTGTGTCCATCGACCGTATGAAGTCTTTATATTCCAACCCGAATGAAAAATTTTCAATCCACACATGGCGCAGAAAGTGTAATGGGATTCAAGGGAAACATCCATTCGAAATAATATCCACATTGAGAAGGTGGATTCAATTCAAATGGTAGGTCCCAAATGATGACAAGTTAACAACCATCTAGATACGATGGAAGCAATTTAAATTGTTTGGGGAACTCCATCCCTGAGGTTGTGAATAGGTATTTCTCGACCCCATCTATGATGCAAGTTGAATACTCGAAATGGTCAAAATATAGTAATATATATTAGTTGTGCTTTGAGATTGTAGTATATTGTGTTTTCAAATATAATTTTATTTGTTTGAAATTATATTAAAATAAAGTTTTTTATTATTAACACTATCACATCAAGATTATAAATAAAAAAACACTAAAAAAAATCAATTTAATATTTTGTCAAATTAAATATATTTTTTAAAAAATATACAAAAAAAAAACAGAAGCACTCCCGAGTAACCCCTTTAAAACTCAAATTGCGATGATTGCTCTCAAGGTATTAAGCTCGATCTGTATCCATCAATATCCATGTCATAAGGGTGGTGGACTAAGCACGTCAAATTAAAGTTTGGCCACCAAATAATTTGGATTAACATTGGGACATGTAGCGAACATTACGTGTAAACTTGTCTAAGCAACATGAATTCCTAACGACAGAAACAAAATGGATAAGGTCAGGAAAGCTGCAAGTTGGTTGGTTGGAAATTAAGGATGTACAATGGCATTGATGGTATTTGCATTGCAAGGGATAAGAACGTTTTATCCAATCAACATCCCCAGCCCATGCAATATTAATACGACTCTCAGGTTAGCCCTATCACCCAGAGCTGGTGGTTTTATGAACGATCCAGTTAGGCTAATTCGGGCCAGTCCTGGGCCCCATCTCCCAACCAAACATCTCCTTTATTCTAGAGACCCCCCCTCTAAATAATATATTTGGCCCAAATTTTAAATATTATAGAAAATTCCTCGGATAAAACATGTTTGTATTAAAACCGGATATTCATAAAAGAATAATGTATGTGGCATATGTCTGGTTCCTAATACAGAGCAGAAGATTTGCATCTTCGTGACCATCTAATCATCTCTGTAGCCTCATTGGCTTCGTTATCACTGCTTGCGGGATTAATTAAACTCCATACATGTGTATATTTTTGATTAAATATAATAATAATAATAAATTTTACAATAATAATAATAATAATAATAAATTTTAAAGTTTTAATTTACTTTTATTAAAAATAAATTTTAAAAATATAAAAAATTATTTTAATATTCTTCTATAAACTTTTTTAAAAAACAATCTTAGCACGGAAGAATATAATAGCATCCTAAAAATATAAAATATTATTTTAATATTTTTCTATAAATTTTTTTAAAAAACAATCTCTAACACGTTGTACCAAGGAAGAATATAACAGCATCCGTTTTAGTCTTGTGTGGAAGGTAATTTGAAGTCAAAACTAATTAATCTAATAGCATCTAGTACCTACCACCTAGGCTAACTTATTTTTCTACGCGCATGCTTCTGGTATACTAATCACATAATGCTTGAAAAAGTAATTATAAAAAGGTAAAGCTATATTTTAATCCCCGTTGCATCAACAACTATTAATATTCATTTGGACCCTCATTTTAAAATCATTTAATATATATATAATAAAGTTTTAACATGCTCCTTTACCATTAATTAAATAGCTAATATGGTAACCGAAAGAGTGTTAATCCTTTTTCTACGATTTTCTTTTTTTCCCATATTTTTTCTTGCCCCCCCTCCAAAGAATTTCTCAAGTGTCATATTGATATCATTTCACAAAAATCCTCAAAAAACTAAAAAAAATCTTAACATGAAAATAAAAAAAGAAGGTCTTGACACTAGACATTGAACAATCAAGGGAAATACTGGAATTATACGGAAACTCTGATGTTGAGATTGTAAAATTTAACTTACAGAGGCTTAAGTAAAATATTGTAGAATTTGTGGAGGGTCGGAATACATGAGTTTATACAAAACAGAGGCTTAAGTAAAATATTGTAGAATCTGTGGAGGGTCGGAATACATGAGTTTATAAAAAAAAATCAAATTATTGCATGCTTTATATTGTGTGGATGTACTTAGATATTGTAGCATATATACTATACCAGCTCCATGTCCACTTGTTTTTTTAAAAATTATACTTAGATATTGTAGCATATATACTATATCAGCTCCATGCCCACTTTTTTTGTTTTAATGAATTCCACCATATATCCACATTTAAACTGTCATATCCATCAATCCAAATCTTGTTATGTATCCAATAAAGAATGGATGAAGACATAAGAAGCTTAAAATCGTGCTAGGTTGAATATTTATATATATACAGTCCCTGGCATTTCTGTCAAGCTTGCCACGGGTGTATCTATCTGACTCACATCCAAAGAATACAAGCCTCGGGTAAAAGAACCTACATACAAAACGACAGTTCAAAAGATGAAAAAATTTGTCAGTGAGAAGAATATGAGTCACGAGATTGCTTTCTTTTTAGCCAGTGAACCCAAAGTGATATCACGGGAGTGAAATTTATACTAGACAGACGTGTGCAGTCGTCTCAGTTATATAGCTGGTTATATATAACCTTCATCAGTGAAAATAATTCTTCCTTTTCTTCAATGTAGAAAAACAAAAGGAAGGAAAGAAAGAAAACAAGCTCCAAGTGGGTGCCATTCTGAACAACTAGAACAGCTGAGGATAGCAATATTCCACATTTAGTGCGGCTAACGTGACATTAACGTACAAAAATATTATCATCTTAGAGAGATTCTCTGATCCGTGACTATATCTATCAAATATTATAGGGTTCACTCTCATTTTCATTGGCCGTGCTAGGTTTTGGCTGATATTATTGTTAAAAGAGAAGTAGTCTTAACTTCTCAGTCCTCCAAGTGAGCTTAGCCAGTAGTGACCATCAAAGTAGTGCCAACTGCGTGCCCCACTAACCATCTCAATCACAGACATACACAGTCCCTCTAGGCAGTAACTGTGTTTGTGTTTAGCTTCATTTGTTGTAATATCTTGACGTGGGAACCTAATCAATAAATATTGAACCAATTTCTTCACATTCAAAACGCAACCTCCCTCTATATAAACCGTATCTCTCTATACTACAAGAAGCAGCAACAACACTACGCATCTGGCTCAACATGGCTGACAAAATCAACGCACTCCCATTTCTATTATTTCTTCTTTGCTTATCCAATCACACTGTAGAATCTCGGGCACCTTTCGCTTGCGACGCAAAAAATGGGCTAACAAGAAGCTTGAAGTTCTGTAGGGTTAATGTGCCATTACACGTGAGAGTGAGGGATTTGATTGGGAGGCTGACATTGCAAGAGAAGATTAGGCTGTTAGTCAACAACGCTGCTGCTGTACCTAGGCTTGGCATTCAAGGGTATGAATGGTGGTCTGAGGCTCTTCATGGTGTGTCCAATGTGGGACCAGGGACCAAGTTCAGTGGGGCTTTTCCCGGGGCCACTAGCTTCCCTCAAGTTATCACTACTGCCGCTTCCTTCAATAAGTCTCTGTGGGAGGAAATCGGACGGGTGAGAATCCTTGAAAATCTTCTTCTTTCATCATGCCCTATTGTATTTCTTAGCATAGAAGTTTTTTATAATTTTTTTAACCGGGATGTTTTCTATCTTTCTATTGAGGAATACTGCTCGACAATATGACCCCAAAAGCGCCCTTTTCTCCGCCCTCTTGAAATGTCACAATTCAAGTCTAATCTCTTGTATAACCAAAGTTACTCGTGTCCAGCCTCTATCAAAGCTCTTCCTTCGAAGCAAAGAGGATGTTGACTCGAATGATCTCAATCTTGAACTTCCTAGCTTGAAAAAAACACAAGACAAACAGTTTACTACTACTTTTAAGACAATATTTTAAGGCTGTTTTTTCAAACTATTACCGGAAAAGGTTTGTTTGGACGCCTTACACACCAATATGTCTACCAAAATTAAAGAAGAAAAAATTAAGAAGGGAGAGTGATTTTGGCACGGGCACCTTACACATCCCTTGCCTAGTGTGCACCAAGACCGTTGGTCCATTTCTAAGTTGTGAGACACACTCCCATGTGTCACATTGTCCCTTCGCAGTCTTTGATTTTAGTGACGTAGGAGAAATGTTAAAACTGGAGTTCAACTTACCTATTCTCTGACTTGTTATTAGTCCTTGAAGACTCCATGGCGCCAACTTTAGCCTGTGCCTATCTATCATGATTGATGCTAAACTTATTCTTTCATTGCAATTATGCTTCTTTAGCTAGTTTTGTACATTTTTACAAAGTTATCAACATGTAATGAGGGTGTGATGTGTCTCTTATGGTAAGATTTTCTTACTTTCTGTCTTTTTTTTTTCGTTAGTCAATTTTCACAAGCTACTTAGGAAAACCTTTAATATAGTTGTTAAAATAATAATAATAATCAATGACCTCTAGGAGGGAATATCTACTTTCACACACACACAAACACACACACACACATTTCACCTCATCTTTTTATGGAAATTTAGAAATCTTAAGATATTAAGTCTTTGGCCCTTGCCCTTGGATGATCACAATTTACATGGAAGATATGAATAATCAATAGTGATATTTACTTATTTGGAGCAGCGAAATGCTGTCACTATTAAAGATGCGCTAATTATATGGTGTTGATAAAGTTGGAATATTAATTCTTAGTAAACATTAATTTGTTAAGAGTGTTCAAAGGCCGTTATTTAACGTATTCATTAATTTTCCCATTTTTAATTTAAAAGTAAGAAGGTATTGGAACCTGGGAGAAATTAGTATTATTGTCCAACAAAAAACAATCATTTGATCCATTAATTAGCATTTGGGATTTTGCAAAAATTATACAATTTAATGATACTATATATCGTCCAGGTAGTTTCTGATGAAGCAAGGGCAATGTTCAATGGAGGGACGGCTGGCTTGACATTCTGGAGTCCAAACGTTAATGTATTCCGTGACCCCAGGTGGGGTAGAGGGCAGGAAACTCCTGGTGAAGACCCTGTTGTTGCTGGGAAATATGCTGCAAGCTATGTTAGGGGACTCCAAGGTAACAGTGGTTTCAGACTAAAAGTTGCTGCCTGCTGCAAACACTACACCGCCTATGATCTTGATAATTGGAATGGAGTGGATCGGTACCACTTCAATGCCAGAGTAAGTCATTTTTAACTTGTAGTGGCTGTATCCCAACATTATTATTATTATTATTCGCAAAATTATTCAGAGTTTGTAACTATCTTTGGGCAATTTAGTTACTTTATCTAGGACAAGTTTTGATTCAAAGGGTAGTTCAAGATTCTCAGCTAAACCCACAGTAGCCATGTGCAAATTAGGACCACTCTATAAGCAGGAGTGGTAGCTAGTGGCCTGGAGCTAAATTTTTTCTTTAGCAAACCATCGCCATCTCGGGCACAACTTAGAAGTGAGTATGGCATATTTGTTTCAACAATTAGGACACTCGACGTGTTACCTGTGAGATCTGTTGAAGTTTCTACCTTTCCTTTTTTGGTCTGAGTTGTTGAAATTGTTTGTCATGACTTCTAACTGAGGCTTTTCCTGTGACCTGTAATGTTATCCTTGGAATAATCAAACGATTATGACATTCTTGTTGCGTTGTGATCTTTATAATCAATTGTTGCTAAAATTATAAGCAATAACAGTTCTATCCTAAATACACTGGAATATTTATTTTGTTCATTTGCGATTAATTTGAACTGTGAGGCTAAGCCATATTTTACATATCTATGAGCACGAATAAATCCCAATGCCCTCTTCATGAACCGAAAAAGGAACGAAATTATATCCACAACTTGGTAAACACTCCGAGCTATATATGAGCTGTGAGTGCGTTCGCCGGAGTGAATTCACGAGTCTTAATAGTTCGGTGGTGATTTCTGAAGGTAAGCAAGCAAGACTTGGAAGACACATATAATGTGCCGTTCAAGTCCTGTGTGGTGGAAGGGAAAGTGGCCAGCGTAATGTGCTCTTACAATCAAGTAAACGGAAAGCCCACTTGTGCTGATCCTAATCTCCTTAAAAACACCATCCGTGGTGAATGGCGTCTTAATGGGTAAGTTGCGTCATCCTCATTCGCTCCCAGCACCCTAGAACATATCGTGTTAAATTGCCGGAGTAAATGATTTTTTATTTTTTATTTTTTTGATGGGTTTCTCATCTAAATCTGTTGATGGGCCCAAACAGATACATTGTATCAGACTGTGACTCAGTTAAGGTACTCTATGAGAACCAACGCTACACAGCCACACCAGAAGAAGCAGCTGCGGCCACTATTAAAGCAGGCCTAGATTTGGACTGTGGCCCATTCTTGGCTATCCACACCGCGAATGCTGTGAAGGGAGGATTGCTAAATGAAGAAGATGTAAACATGGCCTTAGCCAATACAATAACTGTCCAGATGAGACTCGGCTTGTTCGATGGAGAGCCATCAGCCCAGCCATTTGGTAAATTGGGCCCAAGAGATGTATGCACTCCAGCCCACCAACAACTGGCTCTCCACGCTGCCCAACAAGGCATTGTTTTGCTTCAAAATCGTGGGCGGACCTTGCCTTTGTCCAGAACCAACCTTACTGTGGCAGCAATTGGGCCCAATGCCGATGTCACCGTTACCATGATAGGAAATTATGCTGGTAGGTCCCAGATTTGCAATTTTGTTTTAATATCTATAAAATATTAAGTTCATTTGTTATGTGACATTCACAAGAGAGTTTTAGCCTTTGTCTTCTAATGTAGGTGTTGCATGTGGTTATACCACTCCTCTTCAAGGGATTAGTAGATATGCTAAGACCATTCATCAATCCGGATGCATTGATGTGGCCTGCAATGGGAACCAACAATTCGGTATGGCTGAGGCTGTAGCCAGTCAAGCCGATGCTACTGTTCTTGTAATGGGGCTTGATCAATCTATGGAAGCAGAGTTTAGGGATAGGAAAGACCTTCTCTTACCTGGATACCAACAAGAACTTGTATCAAGGGTGGCTAGGGCATCAAGAGGTCCAACTATATTGGTGCTGATGAGCGGTGGTCCAATTGATGTCTCATTTGCTAAGAATGATCCTCGTATTGGTGCTATATTGTGGGCTGGATATCCTGGACAAGCTGGTGGTGCTGCTATCGCTGATGTTTTGTTTGGAACAACTAATCCAGGTATATATCTGTTAGACATATATCCCCAGATGGATTCTAATTTTAATAAATTTTCTTTTGTGGGCTTGATAATTGAACATCAATGCTAGGAAAATTGCTTTAATACTATTCAAGATGAGCACTGATGCACCTCTAAGCTTGTTGTTCCAGGTGGGAAGCTGCCGATGACATGGTATCCACAGGGCTACCTTGCTAAGGTGCCGATGACAAACATGGGAATGAGAGCAGACCCTTCAAGAGGTTATCCAGGTAGAACCTACAGATTCTACAAGGGGCCTGTTTTGTTCCCCTTTGGGCATGGAATGAGTTACACCACCTTTGCTCACTCCTTAGTGCAAGCTCCACAGGAGGTTGCGGTGCCATTTACAAGTCTCTACGCCTTGCAAAACACTACTGCTGCCAGGAATTCGATCAGGGTTTCGCACGCAAACTGCGAGCCCCTCGTATTAGGCGTTCACATCGATGTGAAGAATGCCGGAGATATGGATGGAACTCACACGCTTCTCGTGTTCTCCAGTCCACCAGAAGGAAAATGGTCAACAAACAAAAAACTGATTGGTTTTGAAAAGGTTCATCTAGTAGCAGGATCTAAAAAACGAGTCAAGATTGACATTCCTGTGTGTAAGCACTTGAGTGTCGTGGACCGATTCGGAATTCGAAGACTTCCAATCGGCAAACATGATCTTCACATTGGAGATCTTAAGCATTCTATTTCACTCCAAGCAAATCTAGAGGAGATCAAATCCTAATAACTCATGGGATACCGACAACTGCACGTTAGATAAACAGAACAGATAGGTATTGTGAGTCTCAATAATTCAGATGAGAATAGGTATTGATTCCCGACTCGTTAAAGTTCGAAAAAACCAAAAAGATCCGTGTGAAAAAAAATTGGTCAAAGGTCTTCAAGCCAAGCACATCGCCGGCTAAAAGAAAATTGTCAACATGTTTGTTTATCTTTATTGTTGTTTAATTAAATAAAAATATATTATAATAAATAAAATATTTTAAATGACAGGTTAAATATTTTAATATATATTTATTTCTTGATTTTTTAAATTTTATTTTCAGTATCATTAATAACTTTTTATTTATTATTAGCACACATAATTTTTTATTTATTTAATTACATGTATATATATTTTTTTTAATTTTCATGAAAAGAATTTAAATTATAAAAACACCTTGAGAAAATTTAATATACAATTTTTTTTAGAAAATTAAAATATCTTATCCATGACGAAACTGTTACAAAAGATTTATCGTGGCTTGTACATGAGACCTTAACATTTTTTTGCCGTGATATTTTTTTTTTAATGCAGCCTATGGAATTGGGCGGGCCACTTGGCTCGAATGAGGTGCTAGATGATTTCGATAAATTGCAAAATCACACCTGCTTTGCTTGTGTAAAACTTTGTTTACTATTGTTTCTACCGGGGTCCTGTTTCTAATCAAAGTACTGGTCTGAACCTATCTGGACACCTTGGAATATGTTGTCTACTACTTGTTTTTTTTTCTCCTTTTCTGAAACCTATTTGGACAACTTGTCGGATAGAGCTTTGAAATTCCCATCCAATGGAGACATGATTGAGATTAAGGAAGATGGACAAGCACTTGAGATTCCACTTTCAAAAAATGGCAGAAAAAAAATACGAGTAAAGACAGCTGATTGATTTTGGGGTAAACTTCAATCTTTCTTTTATAGAAATTTGTCGATGTTATAATTGTAGTTCTCAACAAGTTTCAACGTTGCCCATGATCACAAACCGTCAAGGATCCTATCCTTGGATTTGTGTTTTTGAATTTCTACGATTTATAACTGTTTTCGAGAGATATTACAAGATATTTATGAATTTATGACGGGAAAAAAAGGGAAAAAGAAAGGAGATATATGTTAATCATATATAGAGACAACGTTGGAAAAACGGAACATTGATGAATCCAAAGGGACAAGAAAATGGAGTTTACCTCTGGTTTTTAATTTTCTTTTCTTGCTAAGATGGACTGAGGATTTCACATGCAATCATGAAGTCGTTGAAGTTATATCATGACAGGGACGGCACCCAAGAAATGACCATCTTAGCTGCTTGAGATCGATCCCTCCGTCCTCCCTGTCTTTCTACTGTGATTTTGATGTTGCAACTTCTTGCATCTCTACAACGCTGTAAGAGTATTATGGTCAAACATGCTTCTGTGGCTACTTGTAAGAATTGTAGCTAATCGAATTCTTCTGCACTGCACTGCAAGTTGGATTAGTAAATGCTTCTGATGACGTTTTAACACCATGAGAGGTTTTTTTTCTTTAAAAAAAGAAGAAAAGCTGAAGAAATAAAGAGGCCGCCATTGTTAATTTCTCCACATATTTCTCAGTTTTAATTTAACACAAGAGGGTTGCTAAATCTTTAAGAGTTAGCAACATTAAATATATTGGATGTTACGTTGACAAACAGAGAGATCGGTTTGATTTTAATCCATGACAAAACAAATGATAGAACTTAATGAGGAGGGTATAAAAGTGACAAAATATTTAGATTTCTCTCTGAAAGTATCTCTCGTTTTTTAAGTAAATCTTAAAAAAAGATTAATACAATATTCTCAAATCAAGAAAATCGCTAAATAAATAAAACAAATAAATCAGTACAAAACGTGCTCCATGAACGGAAGTGTCGGTAATCGAGGATGTGTGGTAGCGTGAGATCGTACGGAGCTGGTTTGCCATGGACCGACCTGTATTGATGTTGATTTCCAATCTGTGCAAACCATACTTTAATTCCTTCGATATTTAATTGCTGACCAAAAATAATTAAATAAAAACTTCTATTATAATATTACATACACACACGCGCGCAAACATGTGCATATACATATACATATACATATACAAGCAGTTGTCCACCATTAAACCTCATTTCCACCCACCGCCACTCCTCTTCCTTATCATACTGGAGTCTTGTTAAGTTAGCCTTTTGTTTCCGAGTTTGCTTCTAATATTTCCTTGTATATATCTATAGACGCCTTTTCTCTTCTTGTTTTTAATTTTTAATTTTTTATATACACACACACACATATCTCCCCTTTACCCGTATGGTATATTCTTATCTCACGTTTTTACTCAAGACCAATCCCAGTCTCTCTCTCCATTGGCCCTTCTTTCCTTAACGTCTCTGTCCTTTCACTCTTGCATATCTTCCTTTCTCTGCAGCCAGGTAATGGAAAGATCCCTCTCCTGCATCTCTTTCTCTCCATTTTTTTGCCGTGTTTCTTAGGCTGTTAAGGAGTGGTGGCATCCAACCTCTTTGATCTTGTATCCCACTCGCAATTCTCTAGAGTTGGTTTTTGTCTTTACAAGTTTTTGTGTTTGATTCATGGATAGCAGGAGAGAAGAGATGGCAGATTGCAACAGAAACGAAGACTTCTATGGTTCTCAAGAGATCCAGGTACGTACAAAACCCGATTGGCCAATGACATTTTCTTAGTTAGGAAATCAAAGTAAGATATTTTTTTTATTAGCAAAATAGGACGATATCACTAGCAGACATTAAATAACGACTACAATGTTTGAAGCACGCATCCCGTGAGGTGACCATAAAATGGCATGGTGCTGAGCGATATGGGACCTCACGCACTCCCCAATCGAGCTCGTTCAATGCGACAGAGCTGCCTCTTCGAATCCAATATCGACTAGCTAGTCTGTAGTTTAGGCCCAGGCAAGTACTCGAGCGGCATCATTTTTCTTTTTCTCCCTTCAAAATCTTTTCATTTTGAAGTTATCCCTTCTAAGAATAATAATAAAAACATCTTACAGTTAACATGTATTCGAGAGGCCCTCCTCAACGAGCAATTCTTGCAGAAAATTTAAAATCACGTTTCGTGAATCGAAAATTAGATAATTGCAACCAAGACAAATGTTTATTATTTCGGACTCATAATTATATAAAATTAAAATGTAGAATAAGAATGTCATTTTATATTTATACATATAATAAAAATAGTTGCTGTTTATTTATTAGCATGGATATGATATTAAAAGCTAGTATGGAAGTGTCGTCGATGATCAATGGGAATGACAGTTGTCAACTTTACTTGAATATCTCTTATCATTAATTATTTAGATTTAGTGGTAGATAATGAGTTATTTAATTTGACGGTGTTACCATAATTTTTTTTTTGTTGTACTTAATTTATCTAAAACAAGGGACCGAGCAGAGGTGGTATTTTTAGGGCTGGGCCCAAATAAATCTCTTTACACAAGATTTTTCTTGGTGTAAAATTAGTAGCATGTGATCCTTCCTCATCACAGTCATTGAAATATCTGCGGTCCCTACATCTAAAATGCTGTCATCACTGACATTCTTTGAGGTGTCGCCAATGTACAATCGTAATTTGTACGTACCACACTGTATCCCATAGGACTTTTTACCCAATAGAGCTGTCGAATTTCAGTTTTGCTGCCTGCGCGTGCCCTCATAGATGTGACTTGGTTCATGTAGCCACTTCCCGCTGCCTGTAATTTTCTTTTTTTTACTGCGTAGGCACGCTTGAGATGTATATTTGAATGGTAAATCGAGTTGTTGGGTCAAATAAAGAGAGACGTTGCGAAAAAGAATTGTTTTCATGAAAGTAATAACTCAGACGCTAATGATAGGTTTGAACTAGACTAGAATAAAAAAACAAAACAAAAAAACTTTCAAGACACGGTTTCTTAATTTTGTTTTGCCTGCCTAATCCGTTTCTGTGGTCAAAGTAAACCATCATTTAGATTTTAGACTGCAAGATCTGGTCCGCTGTACCTAACTAAGCTTTTGAGTGCTAATTCGGGGGGTCAACGTTTTGGTTTTTGGGTGCAATGATCTTTAATCAAATGAAGCGGGTGGTGTTTGTTGACCGTAATTTTTTAATTTGATTTTTCGTTTTTTAAATTACTTTGATATCAAAATAAATTTTTAAAAAATATAAAACATTATCAAAAGTGTAGTAGTAAGAGAAACTGTTTCAATTCCACCTGTCTTTGACGTTGCAAGAATCAAGTTACACGCAAGTTGTGACTGCGACTTGGGTGTCATTCGCTAGAAAGATTACTCGTGGAGGCTGCTAGGCACGGGAGAGCCCGTCCATATGTAAGTGCACGGCCCTGGTGCTCCCCCACCCCCCCAACGGCGGCCCAGTGTGTATTGGATGACGGAAAATGGAGTGATTTTATTATGCCAACAGACATTCCCTTCAATGCTTTGCTGATGTTTATAGTCAATTTACTATATATTTTTTATTAAGTTTTGTTTTTTTCTTGGAAAAAAATTGTTGAAGATTTTTTTTTCAAACTTGCCACATCAAAAGGTGATCATTGTTTTTTTCATTACAGGTAGCATCCATGACCAAGAAATATGGAGGGCTTGCACCGAAGAAGAAGCCCTTGATTTCAAAGGTAAGCCAAGTAACATAATTTATCAAGTGATATTATAGCAAATCTGTACTCTCTCTCTCTATATATATAAACATGATAAACGAGAACGACCCTTTGATAATGCCTGCAGGACCATGAGCGTGCTTTCTTTGATTCAGCAGACTGGGCATTATGCAAGGTATTCTTTTCATTACCAAAGGAAAAATCACAAATTTTCATGTCTTGTCCCGTCAGTACTATTTTCTGTTCGACAGTTGCTTTAATTACAATCAACGGTCCCCATATTTTGCCTTTCATAGCCTGTTATGTAACTCTCTTCAGAAAGTTTAGGTTTTTCCAGAAGTTGAAAGTAAATTACAAGCAAAAGCAAAGTTATACAGCTCTCTTGTTTAGAACTAAAATTTTGATCCTGCCTCAGCTATAATATATTTTACAGACAATCATGATTTTAGTATTAATTTGTACTTCATTAAGATTTATATTTAATCTTTTTATTCGAGTACATGCGCTCATAAAGAATAATCAATCAAGTTTACTCTGTATTAAGAATTCACTTAAGCCATGAAGTTTTGAATTTCAGATAAACATACTCCAATGATCTATTCTTGAAAGTCAAAATTTAAAATAAAAAAGTTAAACTACAAGAAATCGAACGGAATTCTTGATAAAGTGCAAGCACTATGTGTATATAAATAATTACCTCATTTACTGGGTGCAGAGAAGAGGAGAGAATTTTAATCGCGAAATATAAAAAATAATAATACTTGTTGATTTTTTTATTGATCTGTCTGTGCCTGAAACTCTATACATCTCACCTCCTTGTCTGTGTTTTTTTCCCTTCCTCCGACAGCAAGCAGCTGGAGTGAATCAAACGTCAACAGTGGCAATAGAAACTTTGCGACCAAAACTACAGGTAGTCATAATTTACACCCTTCTGTTCTTTTTTTCGTTTCTCCTCCTCCCCCACCCCCCCCTGTAACGAGCCAGAGATAATCTTTAGCCCCTTCGCCTTCATCCAACACCAAAAAAGTGGAATGGTTATCTTGGAGCGCAAAATCCATTAAAACTTGTTTTAAACAGAGAATTATGCTTAGATGACTGTGCTCTCCTTGACAAACTGCAGAGAACACCTCACCATACACTCCCGCCTAGGAGACCAGCTTGTACATCTGGTAGCAACGTGAGTCTTGACATGGATCGCGTAATATGTTCTTATCAGGTTAGCTTTGGATGCTTTTAACACAATTCACTGGCTTTCTGTGATCTTGTCTTGTTGTTATTGCAGGCAGACTTGGATTGATTGAATGCTCGGAGGAAGAGATTTAATGTGTTTACCAGTCATATCTATATCCATGATGAAGACTGTACACATTGCAATCGTCCTTTGAATGTTGATGATCTCGAATATTTTTAATAAAGGAGTTTAGTTATGCGAGAGAAGTTAAATATTTGCAGTCCTCGGGTGTTTTATAATTTGAAAAGATTAATAAATAACCACTAGGATGGGAATTCTCTGACTCGGCGTCATCACCCTTCCGTCCTTCTAAGTTCTAACCATGTTCGCGGTTGCAAGAATGTATAATAGGTGCCTTGGTGAGTTTTTTTGTAACATGTTTGTCTTTTCTTTCGGAAGTTGTTCACCTGAATTTTTTTTTATTTTAAAATTATTTTAACATGTATATATTAAAAATAATTTTTTAAAAATAAAAAAATATTTTAATAAATTTTCAAATGAAAAAAATTTTTTAAATCAATTTTAGATAATATTTATTTTTATCGTGCTGTTGAAATTTTTTTATTTTTTTAGATTTAATTTAATTTTATATTTTTGAATTGTTTTAATATATTGATATCAAAATAAATTTAAAAAATAAAAAATATTATTTTAATATAATTTTGATTGAAAATCACTTTAAAAGATAACCGTTATCATACTATTAAATATTATTTTAATATTTTTTCTGTGTTTTAAAAATTATTCTTTTGAAATTAATTTTTTTTAGTATTTTTAGATTGTTTTGATATATTAATATCAAATATAAATTTTTAAAAAATAAAAAAAATTATTTTAATGAATTTTCAAGCACAAGCATTTTTAAAAGTAATTTTAGACAATATTTTTTTTTACAGTTAATCGAAGCTTTTGAAATTTTTTTATATTTATATTTAATTTTTTTTATTATTTTAATGTGTTAATATTAAATATAATTTTTTTTTAAAAAATATTAATATTAAACACTAGTACAGGAAAATCACCCGAATAAGTTAAGAGTGCATTCAATAAAAAAATATTTTTAATAATTTTTAAAATAATCTATATTATTTATTTATTTTCTCAACGAGCTACACCATTTAAAATTATAATAATTATATACATATCTATTATTTAAAATTTAAATGTTAATTCTGCTTTCTTGTAAAGTATTTAGTATAATTGCATCTGATCAACTTTCAAAAGTTTAGAAATTGGAAATATTCTATACTTTTAGTTTGGGTAATGTTTTCTGATATCTCTGAAATATCAAAACGGACATTAATGCAATCAAAACCTCAAAAATAAAATGGACTCGCACCAAATCTAGGGATGGTAAATTAAAATTAAGACATGGTCGCGTTACCAAACAAACCCTTCACTTTCCATAATACGGTGATAGGCTTGTTGCCGACATGTCACTCATTTGTTCGAGAGAACACCCAGTCGTTTATGAAAACCGTCTAGTCGTCGTCATGCATAAACGAAAGATGAAACGACGAGTCAATTTGACTCTGGCAATGAAATTCGTATAAGCAAAACTCCATTTTGTTCCGCCATCAGCAGAAGGGACATGAGAGGGCTTTCTTTAGCTTCTAGGGCATCATCACCTGCACTCAATAACCTCTCTAAATCTCAAAAATCATCCAATCAGCCAAAACCCACCACACAAAAGCACCCCTCAAAGTCCAAAACTGATCGATTTCAAAGGCAAACCAATCATACTGAAGCTTCGTTAACAGGTGATAATACTCTTTCTTCACTAAACTCTCAACTTACAAAACACAAATTATTATCAGTCCCAAAAGGCCATGTTTCACATAACAGAGATACCAGGTCAGTTGATCGTCATTATATTTCTAGAATTCTGTCAAGAAATGACTGGTTTTTACTGCTAAACCACGAGTTTAAGGCAAAGAGGATTAATTTGAATCCTCAGTTTGTAGTTAGTGTTTTGCAAAATCAAGAAAACCCAATATACCCGTTGAGATTTTATATCTGGGTTTCGAATGTTGACCCGTTATTTATTAGGAATCAGGCTGTTAAGGGTGTTTTAGCTAATGCGTTTTATCGAAAAGGTCCTGTTGTATTGTCTGTTGATTTGCTTAAAGATATTAGAAACTCAGGTTTTCGAGTTGACGAAGATTTGCTTTGCGTTTTGATTGGTAGTTGGGGAAGGTTAGGATTGGCAAAGTATTGTGAGGAAATATTTGGACAAATATCTTTTTTGGGTATTACTCCTAGTACAAGGTTGTACAATGCTGTTATTGATGCATTGGTGAAATCAAACTCTCTTGACCTTGCCTATTTGAAGTTTCAACAGATGTCAGCAGATAATTGTAAACCGGACAGGTTTACTTATAACATGCTTATTCATGGAGTTTGTAAAATTGGTGTGGTGGATGAGGCACTTCGGTTGGTTAAGCAGATGGAAGGTTTTGGATATTCAGCTAATGTTTATACATACACTAACTTAATATATGGGTTTTGCAATGCAAAGAGGGTTGATGAAGCATTCAGGGTTTTTGAAACAATGAAGCTTCAGAATGTCAATCCTAATGAAGCCACTATCAGATCATTGGTTCATGGGGTGTTTCGTTGTGTGGCTCCACGTGAGGCGTTTGAACTGGTGATAGATTTTATTGAAAAGGAGCCTGTTTTGGGGAGATTGGCTTGTGATACTTTACTCTGTTGCCTGTCAGAGAAGCATATGCCAAGAGAGGCAGGTGCATTATTGAGGAAACTTGGGGAGAGAGGTTATTTGCCTGACAGTTCGACATTTAACATCACAATGACTTGTTTGCTAAAGGGTTTGGATGTCAACGAGACATGTGGGATATTGGACAAATTTATTGCCCGGGGTGCGAAGTTGGGGTTTTGCTTTTATCTTGCATTAATTGAAACTTTGTATAAAGCAGGAAGAGGTATGGAGGGAGATCGGTATTTGAATCAAATGGTCAAGGACAGACTTGTGTCTGATGTCGTTTCATATAACATGCTAATTGATTGCTTCTGCAAAGCCAATGTGATGAACAAGGCAGTAATGGTTTTCAAAGTGATGCAAGATAGAGATGTTTCTCCCAACCTTGTTACTTTCAATACCCTTATTAGTGGCCACTGCAAAGATGGAGAGGTGCATAAAGCACGTGAACTGTTGCAGATGCTTTTAGAACTTGGATTGAAGCCAGATATTTTCACTTTTAGTTCAATAATTGACGGTCTTTGTCGAGCACAACAGTTTGATGATGCTTTAGGTTGTTTGAGTGAAATGGTGGAATGGGGTATCTCTCCTAATGCTGTCACGTACAATATATTGATTCGTTCTCTGTGTCTTATAGGAGATGTTGGTAGATCAATGAAACTCTTAAAAGACATGCGAAAGGATGGAATAAGGCCTGATATTTTCTCCTTCAATGCTCTCATTCAAAGTTTTTGTAGGATGGGAAAAGTTGAGAAAGCAGAGAAGATGTTTGTTTCCATGTCCACCTTGGGTTTGATTCCCGACAACTATACTTATGGTGCTCTTGTTAAGGCATTGTTTGAATCAGGGAGATGTGATGAAGCTAAGAAGATGTTTTTTTCAATGGAAGTGAATGGCTGTGTTCCTGATTCCTTCACATGCAATTTGATTTCAGAAAACCTGGTTAAGCAAGGCGATTTTGAAGAGCTTCAAAATATAGCAAGAATATGTTCTGAGAGAGGAATTTCTCTAAAATCCATTCCTGCAGTATAGGATTCTGCTGCTCTTGGTTCATAAGCTAGGGCTGATTTGTTTGAATATTCCTTCTTAAGTTAAGAGCCAGCCATAAAGTAGCCGGCTGGTTTTTGCTTGTGGCATTTGGAATCATGTATATGGAAGAATTGTATAGAAGATCTCCATTCTGCTCCCATCAGATTGTTTCATATTTTCCGGCTGAAAAATCACGTTGATTCCGGTGTCATACGCATGTTGAGTTGGTGGATTTCTATCTTCCGTAGAAATTACTTGTGGGCTTGGCAATTTGTACCGCTCAACTTTCTTGCATTCCGTTTTCTCTTTTTCCTTGGAAAAATTGTGTTGTGCATGCATGGAGCGGGAACGGCATAGCTGGTCATCAAGCTTACCATATGTTGTGGGGAATCTCTTTGCTGCTAAGTGAAGCGGAGCCTCATTCAACGTCTGCCTCGACATCTACTCAGGATGATACACTGCTATGTTTTTTGCCTTGTTACTTTGAGAGAAATCTAGAATCTGTTTGTTTTATATTTTTCAGAGAAATAAAAATGTTATTCACAATTTTTCAGTGCGAAATAAATATTAAAAAATAAATCAATAAATTTCTTTTTCAGTAAACCCTTGAATAATGTTAATTTAGATGAAAATATTTTAACTTGAGAAAAATAATTTTTTTTCTTGGCATTATTAACTCAAGATGTTTACGGATATCCATATTATTATTATTATTATTATAAATATTTTATTATAACCTTCTATAACTATCAAAATCACCATCATTAATGATCATCATCTTATTATCAATATAACTATTATTTTATTATGGTTTCTTCATAACTCCCACACCCTGCCATCACAACGACATTCAACCACCATCACCCTCAAAGCAACCTACATTTTATTATTATTATGACTATTACTACAATTACCATCTTATATCACTATTGCTCCACTTACCATCTTATGACTACCGCAATTCTCATCGATATTATTAGTATCACAAGTTCTACAACTATAATTAATGTTATCACCTATATGACGAAGCTTATAGTATTAGAGTTTCTCGAGTTCTAATAATTACAGCTCTAAATTATAGAGATAGAAACTAAAATTTTAAAGTCTAAGATTATAACCTTTAATTATAAAGAAAATTATATAGAAAATCTATTATATTTTGAAAGTTATTTATTGTTTTTAATTCTTCATTGAAAAATGGCTTATAGGGTTGTTAAATACAAGTAAAACATTTTAACTAGTAAAATATTAATTAAATTGTAAGTTATAATCTAAACCAAAAAAAGAAAAATAAAAAAGTGGCTTCATGTTTTCATAAGAAAAATATTTTTACAAAACAAATATACTTCTAAGAACACTTATCAGATTCGACTTGGGGTTTGACTTTACTCAAGCCTAAATCTTTGAATTGATAGATTAATTTACAAGTCGTTGAATTAACCTTAATTAATATTAAAATAGTGATGTTTTGGATAAAAATTAAAAGAAAAATTGAAATAATATTGTTTTAAACAAAACTTTTTTAATTAATTTTTTAAAGTTTATCCAATTAGATCTTATTAGGTTTGATTGAGTGAATTTACTTTGAAATCTAAAATTATTAAAATTTGTAAGTTAATATTAAAAGCAACTAGAAATAAAACTTAATTTGAATTATGCTTTAGATATTTTCTAGTCGATGTGGTTGTTGTGCTATTGCAAGTTTAATAACTATGATACTTTAATGTATCATGGTTATACTTTAATGTATATTTACGAGTTTTACCTTTAAGATCCCAAGGAGAAAATAAGAATGTAGCGCTACTTTTTCCATGATGTATGTATGGATGTATTTTCTCTTTTGGCCGGCACATTCTCGAAGTTAGCACAGGCATAACTTGATTCGCGTGCGTTTTGAACATTAATTTAACAATTCGTTACCTAGAACTAAAGCTGAAACGTTTAAGCGAGGGTTCCAAGTGATTCAATAGGATTATCTGAATTCTCGAAGACCTTGCTTTAACAAGCCACTTATCCTAAATTAATAGTATGCTCATGCTCAGGCTGTGCATTACTCGAGCCAACAGGCGATGAAGACATGAAGTAACTATGCTGAATCTCCTCGTTAGTGAAGTTGAGAAGTAACCTTGACCTGTCGTAGAAGTATTTAACCAGAAAGTATTTTTAGGTTTGAATCTTGTTGCTCAAAGAAACTCTAGGCAAGTTGAAGTTAGGTGACTTGCACTCCAACTGCTCTCTTCTCCTTTAGTCCTCTGATCCGTTCAGCCAGATTTATGCCCAACACAGAGGCCAAACCACTATGCTGACACTTTATTCCAGATAAATTCACCAACCTCCTATTATTATCACTACCATTTCTATGTATCATTACTTGTCATGAAGATTCTCCAGCTTATGAAATGTTCCCCAAGTTTCTTGCATGAATTCTTAAAGATTAATATTTTAGATCATTCGGTTTGTGGGTCATTCCCAAAAGCTGAAAAGTTACACGAATCATATAATCTCAATTTAGAAAGAAAGAAACATTAACTGGGAGTGTGTCATGGTATATTAGGCTACATTAGTCAAGGTAGGAATTGAATTGCACCAACAGCAAACAACTAACCACGACATGTTCTAGGTTGATGGCAATGCCTTGGTATATAATTAGCCCCATCCCGTCCCCTTCTCTTCTATAAGTTGTGTTGTCTACCATCTTCAATAATGGCACAATATGCAATCACATTTAGACTCTGGGTTATAACTGCAGTTCTTGTTGGGGTCTCTATAAGCTGCTGCAACCTAGGTAGGTGACAGATAAACAGTTAATCCTGAGAAATTAGTGATTTTAATTCAGGAGCATTAACTTTAATTTGCTGATCCTTCACAGGGAAGGCAGATGAAGGTGAAGATGTGCCTCAAACAGGCACAGGAATTATAGGTGGTGTGCCTCAAACAGGCACTGGTACTATTGGTGGCATCCCTCAAACAGGCACTGGCAGTATTGGTGGTGCGCCTCAAACAGGCACTGGAACTATTGGTGGTGTGCCTCAGACAGGCACAGGCATCGTAGATGCTGATCCCGCTGAAATTGTTGCCAAAGCGTTGCTTTGTTTCAGCGATAAATATGTAAGATGTTGGATCTTGGTTTTATCCATTCATGGTAGGATGCATGCAGTTCAGCCGGTTGAAATTTGTCGATCAATCATGGTTCCTTTACCCAGTGATGCTTTTATGCGTCTGTTCCTGACTTGCATGTTGATATTGCCTATTAAGTTTACAGTTTTCTTTACTTTCCTCTACTGACGCGTTAAGTGCTTCGTTTCTGGAAACTGCCTCTAGTGTGGCCTTGTCCATTTTCCCGTTAGCACAAAAAAAAAAAAAAAAACACTATCTTACAAATTGCTTTGGCCTTTTGATTTCTTCCAAGTCTCAGATATACAGTAGCTGCGAAGTAGCCTATAGATTGACCGAGATAGGTAAGCTTAACGTGCCTCCTGAATACGCTGACTCCTACTGCGGTGGACCATGCCTTACAGAGACACATTTGGTGCTCAGCTGCATTGAAAACATCATGAAACATTTTGTTTTCTATAATAAAGCCACCATACAGGATGTCAGAGACACAATCAAGGCCGGATGTGGCTACGGTCCCGAGAGAGGTATTTTACTAGTTTATGAAGTTGTTATCTTTCTCTGGTTTCCTCTACAAAGTCATAATCTGATATTGGTGTCACCCCAAGGTAATTTTGATGTGTCCGAGCACCTTCAATTTGAAGAAAACAATGCATTCAAGACTGCAAACCAGATTCTGCTCGGAGTTGGCTTCATGTTCGGCGGCCATGCTTTATTGCTTTGATATCTGTGATGGTGGCGTCTGCTATCTGTGATTGGAGATTTATTGCTTTCAGTTTAGATGGCCTAAGAGATCCAGGAGACAGGATCGTTATTTTCTCTAGCTTTATGTAATAAAGAGATGATGAAGTTAACGCCCACCTTCTGGCACTTTGAAAGAAAATAATATGTTTATCTGTCCTGATATATATATAAATGAGAAAGAGAGTAAAATGTGCAGTGAGATGCGGTAAGAAATATAACCAATGCCTAGAGATAAAAATCTCCCATGTTGATCCTCAAAATTAGAGATTCTGAGTCATATTAGAAATACCCGGACCATTATGATTTTATTTAATTATTGTGGTAGTGGATATTTTTTAAATTTTTATTTAAAAATATATTAAAATAATATTTTTTTTATATTTTATAATTTTTTTTATATTAACAATAAAAAAGATAAAAAAATATCAAAAATAATAACTTGAAGGGAAAAAAATAATTTTTTTTTTGAAAGAGCACGTTTTACAACAAAAATAAACACTTTCTTAGAGTGTTTGGAATTTTAGTGGTGATTTTTTCAATCATATTAGTTTATTATTTAAAAATATATTAAAATATTTTTTATATATTTTTTTATTTCTAATATTAATATATTTAAAAATACTAAAAAATATTTTTTTAATATTTTTTAAACTAAAACATGAAAGTAGAAATAGAAGCAAAGCATCATCTAAATTAGTGGTTAGATTTATTTTTTTCCCCTGAAAATTGTTAGTTATTTTTCCTTATAAAGAAAAGTAAACCGTTGATTCTAAAATAAATTGTTCAAATTCACTTCCAATGATGGTATCATGTTCCTCCAAACTTGAGAGGATTCAAATCCGTAGAAAATCATCATTATTCAACAATCCAATGACGGGTGATTTCCCACTTACGGTGGGTGATTCTTGGGGATTTTTTTCACGGAGCGAGCATGCTTTATTTTTGGGATTTAAAAGTATTTTTAAATTAATATTTTTATATTATTTTGATATTTTGATATTAAAAATAATTTTTAAAAAATAAAAATATATTATTTTTTTATATTTTTATATAAAAAATATTTTAAAGATAATTATTATAATACTTTCAAACACTATTATACTAATTAAAATGTTTCACACACTGTAATGTCAGAAGAATAAAAAACGTTAATTAATAAAATTAAGAAGAAAATATGTACTTTTTAGCGAAATTTTTTTTGTGTTCAAGTAGTTTTTTAATAAAAATATATTTTTTATTAGCAACATGGTTTATTAAATAAAAAATAATGAGAATTAAAAAAAATATTCATACAAACTTTAATGATTGGTATAAAAGAGGATAAAAATGTACCTTAATATCATAAAATAGATATTTTATTCTCTTTGAAAATCAATAACCAGATTTTTAAAAAGATTTACATATTAGGTTAACATATAATTATTCATAAAGTAATTGTTGATATTACCATAATAAACTCTAATTTTATTAAAAGCTATGGCAAAATTAGATAATTATTTAATTATTATTTTAATAATTTTATTTAAAGATAAGTCATTCTGATTTTTTTAATAAAATGAATGGAAAAAAAAGTTAACAACTATTTAACAAAAAAAAAAAAAAACCTGAGCACATGTATGTTTAGCTTTTT